GGGCTGGGGCTGTTCTGAGCACGTTACAGGCACGTATTGTTAATGACAGGTAAGTAGCACGGGCGGCTGGCTCCTGCCACGGAAGCACAGCTATTGTCATTCCTCTGCATTATGTGATTTCGTTACCATGACTGTGTGTTACTTTCTGATGAGGAAAAACAGCAGCAATAACAACAACCAGGAAAGTGAATTCCATTTGGGAGCAGGAAGGTGGCCTCGGGCAGTTCTGTGCACCTGTCTGGGACAAGGACAAGAATTCAGGAGGGTCCAGTGGTGCCAGGGCTGTGCACTTGGGATCTTCTCTCTGGACTTCCAGGAAAAAAAACTGGGAATTAAGAACTCTTCCTTACAGGAAATCTGCTTGTCCTGGAAGTCCAACTTGCCTCCTAGATAGAGTGTGTGCACGTGTGTGTATGTGTGTGCACACGCGTGCGGGGGGGGGGTGCTCGGGAGGCTCCCCAGGTCATTGTCCTGCTCCAGGCCTTCCTCAGTCTTGCACCCGCCCCAGCCCAGCCTCTGGTGCCCAGCCTGTCCAGGCCTGCTGCCAGCCGCCAGCCGCCAGCCCCAGCTGTCTGTTGTGGCAGATGTTTTTGGCTGAACCATGGCAACGCCAGAACAGGATGTACCTCTGGATCACAGCAGGGACAAGCCCACGCTCACAGGCCGCCTGTGCCGTTCCCCTCCCCAAAGGTTTGTTGGGGAAAAGTGCTCAGGCCCAGGTTGGGGACCAATGGAGTTTGTGTCTGGGGAGAGGCAGACCCGGTGTCCTCGTGGGGTCAGTGGCAGGGGAGTGGGAGGATGCACGTGCAAATCCCAGCTGAGTGCCTCCCCCAGTGAGCTTGCATTTGCATCCCTCTGCTCTCCAGAAAGATGCTAAAGGAGCAGGGGCTGATCCATGGAGGGCCGGCCATTGTCTTCCCACTATCATGGGAACCACTCATTAAGGGATTACTTTGTGCTAAGACCTGCAACAAATACTTTATATAACAAATAATATCAAAATTCAGGGGTATTTACTTTGTGCTAGTCACAGAGTACTAGACTTTATTATACCATGATGATGAGCTTATCCCTGTTTTTCAAATGAGGAAACTGAGGCACGGAGAGATTAAAATCACTTGTGCCAAGTCACTGAGTGTGTAAGGTACAGAGCTGGGATTTGGATCCAGGGCCGTCTTGCTCCAAAACCCATGACACTTCCAGGACCGGCTACATAATTTGCTGGGCCCAGTGTCAAATGAAAAGGCCGGCTCTTGTTTAAGAATTATCAGGAATTTCAAGATGGTGACGGCACAGCATTAAAACCAAGTGCAAGGTCTTTGCAAACTTGGAGTCCTGTGCAACTGCCCTGAATCCGGCCCTGGACACTGTGTTTCCATCATCATGCCACGCAATGCCACTGCCACCCCCAGACGCTCATAGGAGTGGGCATAAGCAGCCCGGAGCAGCTGACAGCCCAGGATAGCAAGCTCCTGTCTGGCGCCCCTGAGCCACGGCCATCGAGAGGCCTCTGTTCCAGGGCCCCATGCTATTCCATCAAAGAGAGGGAAGGAAAGACCCTTCCCCAAAAATGCTGTGCTGAGCTCCCTAGAACCATGAGCCTGGGAACTCAAGACAGCAAATTTTAGCTCAATACAAAAGTAGCCTTTTATTAAATCTTTCCATGTTTTCTTTTTTTTTAATTATTATGTAAGTAACATAATCCTGTTGCAGACATTTCAGAAAATAGATAAAAGGAGGGAAAAAAAATAAACCTTGAATCTTAACCATCTAATCCCACTGCCATTAGCAGGTGGTGTATTTTCTTTCTGTCCTTTTGTCAGGACCCTAAGGGGAGACTAGGCTGTCTGCTCTCTTTCCCCAGCGCCGGGCACGTGGCAGGGCTCCGCGAACCCAGGAAGGATGCCGGAATGGATGGATGTTAAAAAGGGGCGTGGCCTAGGTGACCTACCTTTCCGGACTCTGGAAAACTCAGGATTCTTGGATAGTGAATGCCTGGTGTTAACCTGGAGTTCAGTCCCATGTGTCCCGGGGTTCAGTCCCACGTGCCAGGCCCTTGCTGGGGTACCAGAGGTGACTGAGACATGGCCCCTGCCCCAGAGGGACTTGTTTTGGGCAGTCATGGGTGTCCCCAAACTGTCCCAAGCCTTGGTGAATGAAGCTGGGACTCATTTTCCTGGCATATTCCATTCACTCATTCTCTCACCTACTATGGTCTGAGCATTGCACGTAGGGCATCAGAGGCTATTATCTTTGGGGAGACGATGGGGGGCGTAGAAAGCACAAGAAATTGGAAACACTACAGGCCTCTCCTCTTCCTGGCTGTGTGGACCCGATCCAAGTTACCTAACCTCTCTGACCATCCACCTCTTCCCCTGTAAAACAGTCATATCTGCAGGCAGGATTAACTCCGTAATGTACCTGAAACCCTCACAACTAGTAGATGCTCAGGATATATTCCTTCCCTTCTCTCTCCCCTCCCACCCATGACAGTCGCCAGTAATTTAGAATGTAGCCTGCCAGGCAGAAGGGGAATATATTATCGGCTTTGAATATATTATCGGTTAATTCTCAGAGTAACGGCCCCAATTAATAGCTTTGTCCTCAACTCGTTTTGATAATCCAGTATCAAGAATCAGAGGGCGCCCCCCCACCACATCCAACGCACCCCTTGTGGGAGAATGCGTCTTTTAGGGTCAGATGCAGGTGCATCCGCTCCCAGGCTGGAAGGCTGCTGATGGGAATGCCGGCATTTTATCTGCCGAAACAGTTTACAACAAAAGGAATTTCAGGCTGCAACTGGACTCTTTATAAGCATACTTCGGTATGCACAAGCAGTCTCCCTTTAAAGGCAAAAATATGGTGACTACGGTTTGGGGGAGGGGAACATATACCTTGTGTCGCCCCCAGTAGACTTCACCTCCAATAGCCTTCAGAGCAAGAAATGGGTCAGCTTTCCCAGGGGCTGGGAGCTTCCCCTCCGACTCCTCTGCTTTCTTGCTGAAGCCGCAAGGGAGACCAGGTTGCATCTCTGGCTTGCTGCTCTCCCTTCCCGCCGTGGGAGCTGCAGCTCTGGGAGGGGTTTTGGATGGGGACTGAGCAGCAGCCACGGGGCGTCATCCCTTTTTGCATGCCACTGTGGGCAAATTACTTACACTCCGCAGGCCTGTTTCTTCATCTGGGAACAGAATAATGGCAGGGTCGTTTGGAGGATGCAGTGGGATTCCTTGTGGAAAGCGCATGGAAGGCACGTGGTAAGTACAGTCTGCACCCCAAGAATCAGGGGGTGCTCTTTTCTGGGCAGGGCTCACCTCGTGCACTGTTCGTGGACCCCTCTTTTAGAAGGGCCTTCCCTATGATGAAGCGAAGCCTTTTGAAATTGCAAGGTATCCTCATGCTCAGCCTGCTGGGGCTGCTTTCGAGCATCTGGCCCGGCCGGGGCTTCCCCCCAGACGTAAACACGAACGAGCACGTGGATCCTCCCGTGCACACCCCCCACCCCCTACTAGAGGTGTGATCTGGGACCACACCCAACCGTGGGATGGTGACTGAGAGGAGGCGATCAGGGCAAAAGCTGCCGGTCATGGGAATTTTCTCCCAGGGCCTGAGTACGTATCTGGTTAAGTTTGGGAACACCCGTATTCCGGTAGGGTGATGTGGGTGTTGTCTCCTGAAAGCGTGTGTGAGGTGCGATTGTAAGTGGCCAAGCGTGAGCCTACGCAGTTGCAGCACACTCTTATTTTGGTGGTTTCTAAACTTGGCCATCAGAGTTCTCAGAGAATGTATCAGCAACACACAGATCTCCGGGCCCCACCCCCAGCCTCTGATGCATGATGCATTTGTTCGGTATCTGTAGCCTCGCCGAGGAAGAGTGTGTCCTGAACCATGACACTCGGTGTTTCCACGTTTAAAACATCCCACGGAGAGGGCCGCGTTAGAACTCGGTCACACCAACCAAAAGCGTCCCACTTTTGCATCGATTTCATACTCAACAAGCAGCTCCTAACCACACATGGGCTTCCCACATAGATTTATCTAGAAGGCCTGAAGGTGCTAATCAGCATAATCGGATCTGCTTGACAGTCACAATTCTTGTGGTAAAGTGATAAACATGCATTCCGGTTTATGCATCAGTCTCTTGTGAGTCTAAGTTGACAGAGCAACTGCAGGTGAAGTGAACCAAGTGCTTTCCGGAGCTGCAGGCACTGGAATTTAGTGGTCATGCCCAACTACTTGCGGCAGTTAGTGCTCAGCAGATGATGTGCGTCCCATGCATCTCCCGGTCCCCCTGGCCCTGGGCTGGGGCCACGTGACCAGGTCTTGCTGCACGGCATCCAGACGAAGGCAGGCAGATGAGAGTGAACGTAACTTCTCCCTGCTTTCTCCCCTCACTGTACGGCTGGAGGCAAAGAACTCCAAGGCGGCAGAATTTGAAGATGAAAGCAGCCCTGCTTCCTGAGTCACCAAGGGAAGAGGGCCACCAAAAGCTGCCTGGTATGCAGTGGATTATGATTTGAACACGGGATAAGCCTGTGCTGTGTTCAGGGACTGAGATTCCCTGGGATCCCTGCCTTGGCGATCAGCAGTAATTAGTCTCCACGGTCCTCCGTCATCGGGTGTAGTGGGAGAAGCTTAGATGGTGTCTGGAGCACACCTCTGGCTTTATGTTTCCTACGTGCTGGGGAAGAGAAGCCACCCAGGGTCCACATCCCAAACTGGTGGGTGACATTCTTTTGGTCCACAAAGGACCACCCGCAAATGGGCCTGCTCTTGCTTACTGACAAAATCAGGAGGAAAAAACCCAGTCCTGGGAGGAGCTAATATTTCTTCCTTGGCTGTTTCTCTGGCCTAAGCTGTCCATATTTCCTAGCTTAGACCTTGGCACATGCACTGTATGAGTTCAGTAAGGACTGCCACGATGATGATGATGTAGTATCAGACTGTCCCCTCAAAGGTTAAAGGGGCAGTTTCCTTTCGTACAAATTCACAGTCATCAGGCATTTATAAAGAAAAAGTTTATTTCCATCACAAGAAGCACACACACTATATACAATACACACCAACAGAAGTAAAAAAAAAAAAGTGCATTATGCATCTTCTACTGCAAATTCACAGTACAAAAGATACTGCCTTTTAAATATATAATATAAAAAAAAACAAGAAGAAAAACAATATAATAAAAAAACCCATCGATATCCTAACACAACACACGGGAACCCACCGGCAGCTTCTGAGAAACCAAAGAACGACTCCTCTCGTGGAGCTCCTGGTTTTGGAGGGGGGAGGAAGGAGGTTTGGTCTGTACCTACATTTTGTTGCAAAAGAGCTCAAGACATTAACAAAGAGGAAAAATAGGGTGGCCTAGTTGGTAATAAAAATCTCTATTAAACAAGAGTACAATCGTGCAACTGGGGCAAGGGGTGAGATGTGGGGCTCTGGTTCAGAGGTCACCCGGCATGTGCCACCCCCCAGCTGGCCAATAAACCAAATTACATTTTTTCATCGGCTCCTACGGGATACAGCACCAACGCCTGCCTTGCCTGCAGGAACTACCAGTGCCGTTTCTTTCTTTCTTTCTTTTTTTTTTTTTTTTGCATGGGAGTCTTCCAGTGAGGACCAGAAAACCTGCCAGACGAATTCTAAAAGAGCTGCCACACTTACCCCGTGCTGTTTCTAGCGAGGCTCCTTGGAACAGTCGTGAACGCACAGTGTAAAACTGCATAGCAGAATAAACACAGACCCGGGATAGGACGGGCTAAAGTCCCGATGCCAACCACTACCCACGAGACACAGTATCCAATCACGAACGATGAGACTTCAACCTCTCGCATAAATACATAGTATTTGTAAACTATTATTAAGGCACTCAATTGTAAAACAATAATTAACAAGTGTCGGAAAAGAGGGAGGAAGCAGCTACTATCTTCTCATGCAGCAAGGCCGACGGAAGGGACAGCAGGGGACCGACCGGTGATCCAGTCATGGGGACGTCTGCTGGAGGGAGTGACCGAGGCCAGGGCCGCAGCACCTACGGCAAGACAAGAACAGGGCAGTCTCTCCAGGTCAGTCACAGGATTCGCTCTGGAGCTCGGGTGACACGGCGTGCGTGGTGATGTGACTCAGGTTCTACCTACTCAAACAGATCTAGGCGGAGTGAACGCGTAGGCACAGGTAGTCGATTGCAGAGCCAGCAATAACAGGACGAGTGGCTGGGTATGGGGCCAAATGGAGGGCCTTCATCTTGCCTGTAACCTCGGCAGGAACCTGGGTGGCGGCACGGGGACAAGGGAACCTGCGCCGTGCTGTCCAGATGTCACCAGGGTTCTGATCTACCTAGCTCTCTTGCCAGAGGTGAAGTGGGGTGTGTGTGTGTGTGTGTCTAGGGGGAGCCCCGCTAAGTGGCCAGCCACCCAGCAGGGTTGCATGAAATGTATTCTGGCACCGAGAACTTCCAGCCCACACAAAGCAAGTGCCTCTTCCCATGCCTCAGGTGAGGTTACTTAACGTGATCTCTTGGCTAAATGATGCAGCATTTGTTCCCCTGAGGGAGACGTGGTCCCCAGGGGAGGGGCAGGATGCGTCCACTGTCCAGGATGGGCTGGCCCTGAGGCATGAGTCTGCAGACAGACAGGGTTGTCCCGCAGGTCTATTGTCCTCAACCTCGGCTCCATCCTGCCACACCCTCTGGCCTTACACCGGGGGAAAGAGCTGTAGAACTGACCGGAAGGCTCTTTAGCGGATGGGAGCAGACTGGGACTTGGACAGTGTGGCTGTTTGGGTGCACCTGGGTGTCATCTGCAGGCTTGAGCAACAGGGCGCCACGGAGAAGGGCTTGCCACCCGGCAGTGAGCTATTCCACAGCCAAGAGGTTGGCAGGGCCCCCTGCGTTGACGGCAAGGAGGCAGACAGGGAATGCGGAGAGAAAGAAACCGCGTTCTTAGGAAGTTCCTGCAGCCGGGATACTGCTGGAAGGCCCTGAAGTAGCTACGGGACAAAGCGATGGAAATCGGCACTGTCCAATCACGGTCAGAAGGCAGCCTGGTTCTTCCTCTCTGGGACCCCGTTATACTTAAAAAACCTCGAAGACAAGACCTTCCTGTTATGGCAAGGTGTCTCACTTTTGGCATGCCACACCAATTAAGGTGAGGTGGAAGATGAAATGCAGTGGAAATACACAGCGTATCAAGCTGATTTAGAAAATCTTCCTTTTTTTCCAAATCAACAAAGGCATTTGATGAAAATGACAAACACACATGCACACACACACACACACACCAATCAATGACTTGCACAGCACAAACCTCTGCCTGCCTCTTTCTTGTGCCACTTATGTTTGGAATTTTCTCTATCGGCTAAGATTACACACAAAGCATCCACCAAGCTAAGGGATATCTTATAGGACAAACTTTCTTTTCTGGGACCAGTATGAATTTGTCTTTGCCAAGGTGCCCCCAAGCCTGGCAGAACGCTCTTGTCTGGTTCACATAACATTTCAAATAGTCATTTGCCATATGTTTACGTGCAGCTTATTTGGGACTCCAGAAAAAAATCTTTGACCGACCTTTTTCCCAGGCCAGAGTATTTACCACCAAATCAAGAATGCTTCATTTTGTTCTGATGATGGGGACATTTAGATGTCGATATACTAGCTGTCCTCCCGAAAATGAATGGATAAGTTTGCCAAAAGCCAAAACGACCCACTTGTATTTGAAATCTTCCCCTCTACTCCGACTTTTTAACTGGATAAGAAAAATTATGGCTTTGGAAATTAAAGTTTTCAAAAATATATCACTCCCATACACAGACATGGTTAAAAAAAAACCAACATCAGCCTGTCATCACCACCACATTTATGGGATTATTTTGACACAACTGATCTGTCCCATAAAATTTAATTTGGCAAAACGTACTGAACTTGGTATTTTTTTTTTTGAGACCGTGCTCTTGTTGGCTGAGAGGGGGAAAAACCCACAGGGATTTCAAGAATAAGTGGATAATCACCTTTTAAGGTGCTTTCAATTGACACTAATGGGAAACAAATTGCTAGAAAGTAAAATAAAGTATGTTAAAAAAAAAAAAAAAGAAGAAGAAGATGAAGAATCATACCAGGGAGAAACAGTTCCAGGAGAAAGGATTTTTGCAAAAGCTCTACCTGTGGGCTGAACTATGACCTTGCCTAGTTCCTGAAGATCCCGCCTGGGGGGCTTTCCAGAACGGCCTGCTTTGGGGAACCCGGTTCCGACCAGTGCAAGATGGCAACTCACTCACCCACTTTCAGGATTTGGCTGGCCTTGAAGGCTTTCCCGGTTTCACTGAGCTAATCTGGCAGACCCAGAGGAGGGCAAGATGGGATTTCGGGAAAGCTCCAGCCAACGGTGTGCCCCCCACGGTCCCTCACACAAACAACTTCTCCACCTGCATGGGCGAGGCAAGCTCGGGTGGGCTGGCAAGGCCTGGAGCTGGGAGGAGGGAAGGGTCAGGGGTCCAGGAGGCAGAGGTCGTCTTCAAATCTGCTGTTTCTTCTGCAGGACCAAGGGCAGCCCTGTGTTGTCACAGAAAACCAGGGGGCAGCAAACTTTGTAACAGACCTGACAGTAAATTATCTTAGGCTTTGTGGGCCATGTGGTTTCTGTTGCATATTATTTCTTTTTTTTTTTTTTAACAACCCTGCAAAAATGCAAAAACCATTCTTGGGGGGGGGAGGGCGCATACACGATAGTTTGCTGATAACCCTGAATTGGACCTTCCTGTCTTCTTTCTACTGAGCTGCTGCTCTCTCTCTTCAAAATGCTTTCTTAACATTCTGTCTTGCCGACTGAGGCCAGATGAGTCCTCCGGTTCGGTTCGAGCCCAGAGCCCGAGGCCGAGCTCACCTGGCTCTGAAAGGGGCCACCCAGAGAGGTGAGGCCAGGCGACAGACTCCTCATTACCATCGTCATCTTGGCTGCTGGGGAGCAGCAGGAAGCAGTATTCTCTCTGCAGCAAGGGCCACTGTGAACACCTGTGCCACTTGTCAACGGCCTCACTCCTCTCAGAGGGAACCGCTGACATCTCCATTCTCTCCCCAAACGTGAATAGACAGGGCAAAAAACGAGCCGGAGCATCCGGGCTCCCAGCAGGACACTTGAGCACTTTCAAAACCTAAAGGCTCACGAAGCCTGAGGGGCCCTTCCCCTCTACCTGGGGCACTTTCAACTTCAGCATTAGCGACGGCTGAGACCATCACACGGTCACATTTTCCCCACCTGAACCCTGTGCTGGTCAAACACGCGGCGCCCAGCTGCAGCAGCAGCGGCACCAGGACAGAGCGCGCTCCGCCACTGCACGGGACGCCTCCGCCTGGTGACTCCACCTTGCCGTGTCTGGTGCCGTCGCGTTAAAAGTCTCGGCACGATCTGGGCTGCCAACCAAAACGCAGAACACTAGAAAATTCTTCTTTTTTTTTTTTTTTGGAAAAACCCTTTCTAACACAGCATCATTCCCTGGAACGAGCCTTGGTCATTCTTGTATTTAAAAAATAAAAAAAAGCACAGCAAGAACAGAGAGGTAGGACTTATGTCGCCATCTGAGAGTTTTCCGAGAGGGCCACGAATGAGCTAGAACGTCTCCCGCGGCGACGCCGCCATGGCCACGACTTCTCTTCCTGCATGCTGCAAACGGAACGGTTTGCACGTGGGCGCGCGTCCGCGCACGTCCTGCCCAAGACTCGATTCTTCTCGAAAACGCGGGACTCGGGAGCGGGTCTTGCGGCTGCGAGCTCGTGGTTTCTGGTTCTCCCAGGCCACACGGCTGACAGCTCCCCTTTCTTCTTGCGCTACAAGTTCGTTATTTTCGTCTCCCCTCCTCCTCTCCCTGGCAAGAGGGGGAACCGTTTAAGGGAAGTCAAGATGGAAGGGGCCGGCCCACACCCGCAGGGAAAGGACGGGAGGGGTCATCTGGAAACTCGCGTCCCAGCGCAGCAGGAGGGTCAGCTTTTGCTCGCCCGGGAGGGGCTCTTCAAGTTTTCCGGGGCAGATGTCCCTGATGGTTTGGAGGTGGCAGGTGGGTTCCTCGGGGTGGCCTGGGGCTCGTGCAGGAAGGACGACTCGCTCATGGTGGCGTCATGGGAGTCGGCCACCGTGGACGGGTCGGCCTCGCTGGAGAGGTCTTCCGTGGAGAAGTTGAGACTCCCGAGCTTGGCCAGCGAGTGCGAGCGCTTCAGCGGGGACGAGACGGTGAGGCCCGCCAGCCGGAGCCGGGTCTCGATCTCCTGCGTGCGCTGCTTCACCAGCCCCGGCTTCCCGCGGACGCTGTGGATGCTGTCGCTGCTGGAGCTCCGGGTCAGGTTGGAGCTCATGGACGAGGAGGTGGGCGTGTAGCAGATGGTCTTCAGGAAGTCCTTCGAGAAGTGGCTGGTGTGATCCAGGCGGCAGAGGAAGGCAGGGGGGCTCCTCAGCGAGGCCCCGTCCAGGGGAAGGGGGGCAGCCTCTGCTTTCCCGTCGCTCCCGGCGGCTGCGGTGAGGCTGGGGAAAGGCAGGGGCCCCGGCGCCCAGAGAGCGGCGGGGCCCTGGCCCTCCTCGGGGATGCTGGGCTCCAGCCTGCCGGCCGCGCAGTCCCGGAAGGGGGCCGCCGGGTCCGCGGGCGCGCTCCTCAGCCTCTCCAGCTCTTTGGTGTGCTTGCGGACCAGGCCCGCCTTCTGCAGCTGGATGATGGACTCCTGGTGCTGCATCAGGTAGCTGCTGGCCGCCGGCTTCTCGGCCTCAACGCTGAACAGGAGCCGCAGGTCCTTAGCAGGCTTCGGGTCTTTCCTGGGCGGCGACTCTTCCTTCACCACCTCCATGCTGGGAGGGTTCTTATCACAGTGAGAATTCTTCAGAGGGAGGGACTTTGGCAGGACTTTTGGGGCCTCTCTGGAAGGTTCCAAAAGGCTGGCTGGGAGCTCTGGGGCAGCTGCGGCCCCAGAGCCACTGGTGTCCGGCCTCCGCGAGCCGGCTGGCGGTGGGAGTGGGGCAGTCTCGGCTGGGCCGGAAGCCGGCTTCTCCAGAGCCCGGGCCCGGCTGGCAGTGAGGGCCACAGGGGAAGAGGTGACGTGGGGCAGGAAGGCAGGCTGGGTGCAGATGGCAGGGGCGGCGGGGTCCGCACATCGCTCCCGGAAGGCCTCCGAGGCCCCGCTGGCTGGAGGGTACATGCAGTCGGCGCAGGATCTATAGGAAGGCTTCACTTTGTTAAGGATCCCGAATATAGCATCGTGCTGCAAGGGGACAAGAACATCGTGAGAAGAGTGGGCCCCGGTGAGCTGAGACCGAAACTAGGAGGCGGAGCTGGGCCAGGCCCTGGAAGGGTGGCTCCTGCTTTATTTAGTGCAAGAATAGAGACTCCCCGGGACCCACCTGAGCCTGCACGACGCAGACGAGACAGGGCCTGGAGACAAAACTGCCCGGAAGCACGTGCCGAGGCCCTGGGCAGAGCTGGGGCTACACTCCAGCGTGGCCGGGGCAGGATGCCCAGGGCCCTCCTTCCCAACCCTGCCCCTGCCACCCGCACCGTGTGCTGTGACGCTCTTGCGGAACTTGGTCTCACTGGGAAAACAGGGTGACAACGCCGCATCACAGCACCGTGAGAATGACGTTAAATAGTGCGTGTCCCTCATGGAAACACAGAAAGGGGGCTCTTCCTTTCGCAGAGACTTGCACGTGGGGAGCACGCAGCCGGACAACACAGCCCCTCCTGTCCGGCAGGAGCACACTGTGGCTCCAGAGCAGCGCTGCCAGGCCAGGACGGGGCAAGATCACAAAAGGGAGGCAACGCCGCCGCAGCCGTCTCTTTCCCGGAGCTGTTCCGCCAGGAGATTCCCGATACGCGCTAAACCCGAGCCTCCCAGGCAAAGGGCTGATGCGGGTTTCCCGCACTTTCTCCCTGCTAGTGGGGCCTGGGCGCCGCCCCTCCCCTGGACTGTCAGGAGTGAACACCATCCTGTGTAGCAGCCTTAAGCCCCTCCCAAGGTAGAAAGTCTTGTGGGGGGCCCAATATTCGGGGAGTCAAAAGGATATGCAGCTGTTACTCCTGGGGGTAGGGTCGTCTGCAGAACCTTCTCTTAGGAACCCTGGGCCAGCTTCTGGGTCCGTCCATCAGTAGGATCTCAGTCCTCCTGACCAACTACCTCTTATTAAGGCCTGAATTCTTTTTTTTTTTATTCTGTCACCCAGGCTGGAATGCAGTGGTGCAATCATAGCTCACTACAGCCTCAAATTCCTGGGCTCAAGCAATCCTCCTGCCTCAGCCTCCCTAGCAGCTATGACTACAGGTGTGCACCACCATGCCCAGCTACTTTAAAAATTTTTTTTTAGGCAGGGTGCGGTGGCTCACACCTGTAATCCTAGCACTCTGGGAGGCCGAGGCGGGCGGATTGCTCGAGGTCAGGAGCTTGAAACCAGCCTGAGCAAGAGCGAGACCCCGCCTCTACTATAAATAGAAAGAAATTAATTGGCCAACTAATATATATAGAAAAAATTAGCTGGGCATGGTGGCGCATGCCTGTAGTCCCAGCTACTCGGGAAGCTGAGGCAGAAGGACTGCTTGAGCCCTGGAGTTTGAGGTTCCTATGAGCTAGGCTGACGCCAGTGCACTTACTCTAGCCTGGGCAACAAAGCGAGACTCTGCCTCAAAAAAAAAAAAAAAAATTTTAGAGTGGGGGGTCTCACTCTGCTGCCCAGGCTGGTCTTGAACTCGGCCCCAAGGGATCCTCCTGCCCTGACTCCCAAAGTGCTGAGATTATAGGCATGAACCTCAGTGCCTGCACCAAGGCCTGAATTCTTGACACACAAATTTTCGGAAGAAGGGAGACGGGAGAGAATCATCCACTCAACACGCATTCACGGAGCGCCTGCCTCAAGCCAGGACTTGCATCTGACTCGGGGGCTGTGGACCAGACACACCCCCTACCCCTCAGGAAGCCTGCTGGCCACTGGTGGGAACAGACCAGAAACTGTGACAAGGACGGGGTGGAGCTCACAGCCTCCAGAGAGGGAGGGAAGGCTGCCCCGAGGAACTGACTTCAGCTGAGCTTCTGGGGCCAGCAGGTGCAGGGCAGGCAGAGGGAGCGGCGGACAGGCCCAGCAGCTGCAGGGGACGAGGGCCCTGCGCAGGGTGGCAGGCTGGAGGGTGGGGTGAGGTGGGACACAGGCAGGAGGGCACGGAGCACTGCCTCCAACCGTCCTCGCCCCATCCTCGGAGCCACCAGTCTTCTCAGGCCCCGGTGGCCCCTCTCTCCCTCCAGCCCACCTGCCGCCCACGTCCAGAGGGGCCTGGCCACCCCCTGCTTAAAGCCCCACCCCAGGGCGTCCACCTTTTTGGCTCGTTTGTCTCCGTGGACATTTGCTCTTTGAGGGACCTGGTAAGCAGGGAACCCGAGAGGGATTAGGATTGGCGCGGAGTGCCTTTTACGATCTGGGTCGGTAGGTGGGACTCCCCAGTTCCGTCTGCACTACACCGAGATGCTGATGACAAAAGAGCTTTACGCTCTAATGCACCTGCAAGGATCCCAAGTGCTCCCACTTGGGAATCACGCCAAGGAAGGGGGGACACGGAGACCAGGCTGCACAGCAGCCCCCTCCAGGCAGCCAGCCTCGGCTCCTGGGTCCCACTGACAGAAGAGGGAAAAGTTTGGCTGCAACGAACTGCTGGCTCGGGAAGCACCAGGTGGGAGCTCGAACCCTGCCGCAGACAATCTACCCACCATCGCAGCTTCCAGAGACTCACGGAGCTCCGCGTTAGAGTCTGGGCTACGAGACTAGACACACTTGATGATGCTGAGGGCTCGTTACCGGTTTGGGGAAGGTGGTCACTGGTATTGCAGTTATGGTCCATGCTGGAGCCTTCAGGAATAAAATGATAAATCTGGGACTGGTTTCAAATCACCCAGGGAGTGTGGGAAAGAGGGTGAGATGAAGTAAGAACAGCCACATGTTGATAAAGGTTGAAGCTGGGTGGTGAGTTATTATATTTTGCATCTTACATAAGAAGGAAGAAACTGAGTTGGACGCCCTGCCCAAGATTGATCGAAGCACTCGGGGCGGAGGTGGCAGGCTGGGTTGGTGTCATTCCCGGCAGACCCCAGTGCACTATGTACACGTTACGTGCCCGATCAGCCAGCAGAGTCACCCTCCGAAATAAGCCCGAGGCTCCCTGCCCCATCCCTGGAGACAAGAGCTGCCGGCCCCAAAGAGGGGCGCAGCAGCAGGACAGCCCCCACACCCCGGTCCCGTGCCTACCTCAAAGTCATCGGGACAGCTCCTCTTGCTGTTGTTGTTGTTCAGGTTTTCCCGGTTGAGCTGGGCTGGGGGCCGCCCCCACCTCCCTGGTGCTGGGCCATCGTCCCTGTCCATCTCCTCCGCCTGTGGCAAGGAGCCCCTCCGGGCTGCAGGGCTCCCGAACTCTAGTTTCCTCCTGGTGTCCCTCTCGCAGAGACCGGGGCCCTCCTGGGGACGCCTGGCTGTCCCGTGTGCCTCCGCTGGCTGGGCTGCGTCCTCCGAAAGCGCGTCCCTCTCGAGGCCCTCGAGCTGGGCTGAGCTGCCGGTTTCACCGTCGGGGGGAGAAAGGAAGGGGTCTGAGAGTCGCCGGAAGCAGCAGGGGAGAGCGGGCCCTCCAGGCGCCCTGATGCCCGGGAAGCCGGGCTGGCCCGTGTCCTCCAGGCAGGGCAGCCGGGTCTCCAGGGTGCTGTCCAAGGTCTCTGGTGAGAAGCTGCCAGGTCCCCCAGGGCCATCCGCAGGCGGCTGGAGGCTGCTCTCTGTCTGCTGCCGCCACAGCTTGTTGTGTCGCTGTTTGCTATGGGGACAGAGGGCAGGGGAAGGTGAGCAGGGGAGGACAGCACCCAGAGGGGCCTGGGGGGAGAGGCATGGGGGTGAGCAAACAAAGGACAGCCCGAGGTCGCGGCTGGTGGCAGGCTCTTGCTTACGTAAAGCCCCTCTGTCCACCTGTTCCCAGGAAACACAAGGATGAGAAAAAGCACGAGGACCCTGAATCACCATGGCTTGCATTTTGGGAAGCCTCACGTGACTTTCAGTCGCATGGGGACAACGTGACGGGGACACAAAGGGGGTCTAGGCGTGTCCTCTGTGCATCTGTGTTTCTGCTAGCTCTTTCTGTGAACCCAGTCACTTCACTATGTTCCATCTGTCAGTTTCTCCATCTGTCAGATGCGAATAACAACCCTCTCCCGCCCACGCTACAGGGAAATCGAGGGGATGAAAGCAGAGAGTGCGTGAAGATCTACACACGCTGCCGAAGCCACGTAGACACGTGCTGCACACGAATGCATCTGGGAAGAGCCCAGACAACTGGAAATATCTGTTTAGGTCAGAGGGATTACAGAATACTATTGCTTTCATGATATCTTTTTTAAAAAACACAAGGCAAAAAAAGAAAGAGAGAGAAGTTTATAGTGAAATAGGGTCACTAAGTCACCCCCCGGGACCTTAAAGTAAGGCCAACATCATGGGGTTGTGAGCGTTAAGACAATATTGAAAGAGGCTGGGCGCGGTGGCTCACGCCTGTAATCCTAGCACTCTGGGCTAAGGTGGGAGGATCGCTTGAGCTCAGGAGTTCAAGACCAGCTGAGTAAGTAAGAGCAAGACTCCATCTCTACAAAAAACAGAAAAATTAGCCGGGCATGGTGGCGCATGCCTGTAGTCCCAGCTGCTCAGGAGGCTGAGGCAGGAGGATCGCTTGAGCCCAGGAGTTTGAGGTTGCTGTGAGCTATGATGACTCCACTGCACTCTATCCTCAGCGACAGAGTGAGATTCTGTCTCAAAGAAAAAAAAAAACAACAACAACAAAAAAACGAGAAGGAAACAGACACGCGATGGGAACACACGGTTTGCTACTGCTCTTTAGTCCAAGGGCCTGTCACGATCCTTCACTGCTGTTTGCTCTGTGCTCGTCCCATGGAGCTGTGATCTGAGATAAATGTCCTACCGCCACGAGCCCAGCCTGGAGAGCCCCGGTCAGGCTATAAAGAGCCCTGACGGCAGCCGGCCTGACAGGCTTGGGGAGGGGACGGCAGGATGCCGGCTGCTCCTGCAGGCCCTGCCTGGGGACCTGCCTAGCCACCGTCTGGTTGACAGTGAAGAGCCCCGAGACGGCCAGAGCTGTTCTCCAGACCCCGCTGGACCCTGCCAGGGCGCTCCTGCACCCCCAAACTTGGCCACGAAGCCACTGGGCTTTAGCCTGCAGCTTTCTTCCAACACGGACCAGAAATGCTCCAGGGAGATCTGCTTCTCGTCCGAATAGGAAGGGGAGACGGGGAGAAAGTGAGTCCCAGTGCGAATCTTCTGGGGGTCCCTGGAGGCCCCCCCCACCCTGGGTGGGCAGGATGAACTCAGGACCTCCCCGTGCTGACCACCCTCTGCGGCGCACAGACCTGCGTGTGTCACTACCTTCTGCTGTCCACTGACAGTGTGATGGGTGACAAGTTAACCCACTCCTGTCCCCGGAAAAGGGGGACAGCTAACCTGTATGCTGCAGACCTTTTATGGGGTGGGAGTTAGAGATTTTTGAAAGAAGCTACAGTTATTATTTACTGGGAGCCAGGTCTGGTAAAGGATCTGTCAAGGTAAACTTGTACAGGGCTCACGCAAACCTCAAAAAAACCCTATCAGGTGGGTATGCTTTTTTTTTTTTTTTTGGCCAATTTCTTTATTTTGGTAAACTATGCATAACATAAAATTTTCCATCTTGATCACTTTTAGGTATACAGTTCAGTAATAATAAATACATTCACGATGCTGCATGAGCATCCCCACCATCCGTCTCCAGAGCTCTTTTCATCTTGCAGAACTGAAACTCTGACCCCATTAAACTTGAGGTCCCCCTCCCCGCCTTCCCCAGTTCTATCTTCTCTCTCTAGGACTCTGACTCTCGAAGGACCTCCTGCAACACGCAATCACACAGTACGTGTCCTTCCGTGACTGGTCTATCTCACTCGGCACAGGGTCCTCAAGGCTCGTCCGAGTCAGAATCCCCCTCCTTTCTAAGGCCGAGTGACAGTCCCACCATATGGGCGCAGCACGTTTTGTTTGTTCATTCATCTGTCAGTGACCGCTCGGGTTGCTTCCACTTTGTGGCTGCTAAGTAGTGCCGCTATGAATGTGGGTGGACAAACATCTCTTTGAGACCCTGCTTTCAATTCTTTTGGGGACATATGCAGAAGTGGAATTGTTGGCTCGCACAGTAATTCTAGTTTTAGTTTTCTGAGGAGCCACCACGCTGTGTCTCAAAGCGCCTACTGTGTTAAAATCCGCATCGAGGTGGGCACGGATTCTTAACTCAGGAGAGGAAACTGAGGCTCAGGGAGACCGACCCGCTTGCTCTAAGTCGCCCAGCTCACCTGGTAGAGAGACCCGTCTGGCTCTGCAGTGCTGGGCCCTGTCCCCCAGCAGAGCCAGTGCACAGGGCTGTGCAGGAAGCAGATGCCCAGGACCTGGGACAGACACATGCCCGCACCACGCACGCTGACAGGGACTTGCTTTGGACCAGAAGTTGGGCACCGTTCCCCGCGGCAGCTGAACCAGCTTTATGTGTGTGCCAACAAAATCAAAACAGATCCCTCCTGGAAACGGCTAATCAGAGCCCAAACAATAGTTGTTTTTCTCAAACTGGCTCCCCGAGAGAGGCGGGATTTTTGGCTGCGGAAACCCAACGGGAGCACGCTCAGATCCTGCCACGGGCGGCCCAGCTTGGCGGCGGGCGGAGGCTGCTCCAGCTGGGCCAGCCAGTCCGTCCCCCTCTGCGGGCTTGGCACCCACCTGGCGTCCAGGATGCCTTCGTACTCAGACAGCTGCCGCATGAAGCCCGCGTTGGGCCGCGTGATGCTGCGCTTCTGCTTCACGTAGTTATACGCCTTCTCCAGGGGCCAGCCGAATTCCTTCATGGCGTAGGCGATGACGGTGGACGCGGACCGACTGACGCCCATCTTGCAATGCACCAGGCACTTGGAATGGTTCCTCCTGCGGGCGTGGGGACGGGGATGGCGGGGGTCCCCAAAGCTTCAACTCTCAGCTTCAACTCTCAGCTTCATTCTCTCAGCTTTTACTCAACTGCCTTTTTTTTTTTTTTAAAAAACCCTGAAGAAGTTATCTCACTGCCTGAAACCTCCCCGTGTCCTAATGTTTACATGCCTGCACACCCTCTAAAGGAAATCACTTTGCTGCAAAACCAATTAGCACACAATGAGAAATCAAGAGAAGTCTGTTCTGGCCCAGCCAAGTTTTGCAAGGAGAGCTCCAAAACTTGGCCGCCTCCACCGACAAAAGTGGGAACCCACTTCCCACGTCGCTGGGACAGGCTGAGGGAGACCAGAAAAACCCTTTCCTGGGAAGCAGTTGGGCAGCTACAGGGATTTCTGCAAAAGCCACTCAGCTGCTACAGCAGATGGAGACGGTGAATGAGTTACTGTGGAAAAATGGGGTCAGCGGAGTGAAGCCGGCAAGGCCCCGGGGAGAGCAAGACACTGGTCAGACGGGAGTGCCAGGGAGCAGGAGCAGGGGTGGGACAGCCAGAGAGGGACAAGCCAGGGGAGGAAGATGAGGCTGATCTGTTGTTTGCAAGGAGGCAGGACTGGCCCAGGCGTGGCTGATTCCCCAGATCCAGACCCAGCAAGGCCGGCAGAACAGTGTGTGTCTAGGTACTGCTTGCTCAAGAGCGCAAGAGACTGCCAGGCTGGGACGGGTGGCACCTGTGACACTGTATTTGTACAGAAGGTGGCCCCACCAGGAGGGAGCAGGCTCCAGCTTCCCATACCCCAAGCTTGCAACTCCAAACCTCAGCGCCTTTTTTTGTTTGTTTGCTTTTGGACTGCTGTTCTGAAAGTCTCCCTCAAGAGTGTCCTGAGTCTGTCCCCTGGGATTTCGAGAGAACTAAGGTCACTTTACGAAGCTTTGACCCAGAGGAGCACAAAGCAGAAGAGGGTGGTTTCTCTCGACAGCCTCTCAAAGGGTTCTCTCTTTCTGTTCTTGACTCCAATAAGGCACAGTTGTTCCAGAGCAGAATAAAACGGGGACAGGAGACGGGTGAGACCAGACTGTCCCACCCCACGTGACGCTCACTTGAGGACAGAGACGGGCCATGTTCTGCGGGGAGGAGTCCCAAAGGAGCTCTGAGCCTAAGTCCCTCCCCTGCCCTCCTTTGGCTCAGCGACTCCCCAGGGCCTGAGCCCCTCAGAGCGTCCACTTGGTATCGGATCTTTGCCAGGAACCAGTGCAGATGACAACCGGGGCCAAACGTCACAATCATGGACAGGTGGGAGAGTCACCTGGTTAGGCTTCTACCTGGAGAGGACGGACAACTTTTGCCCTCTGGTGTTTGGGGTCCTGCGGCTAAAACCAAAGGTCCATCGGCCATCCAGGCCCCTCAAGCCAGGTGACATCTGTGTCTGGGGTCCCCAGCAGTTCCTGCCCCCCCCTCCCCACCTGCCAGCCAGCCTGGCTTCCCCGCCCACTTACTTCGCTTTGTTTATGAAATGATACGCTTCGTTCCAGTGGGCGAGCAGATCTGTCGTCTCTTCGTCATAGACGCGGATGTTATGATATGCAAATAAGCCAGGGAAAAAATTATCGATTTCTCTAGTAACATTTAAAATGTAGTCAACCCTGCAGTGAGGAAAAACAAAAAACAAAACACAAACAAACCAAATTTGGAGAATCAGGATGAGGAACTATAAAAAACAAAGTAATGAAACACTGGCAGAGAAAAAAAAACATTACATATGAACAAAGGGTAATACCTTCGTGGTGGAACTTTTGTTTTTCCTTAATGGTAATTTTCTTTGTGTTTTCTAAATGCCCTCTATACGATGAGAATGGATTGTATTTATACCAAAAAGCCAGATTTGATTTCTTTATTTAAAAAAAAAAAAAAACCTTATGAAAAGATAACTCAGTTCAAAGCATTCTAGAAATGAAATATGTATGTATTACTTAAATAGATTTATAAGTTCCTTAAAGTGTCAAAATTTATAACTATTATGCGTATACAGAGGCTTTTAAAAAAAGTCTCTATTCTGAAACAGTTAAAAAGCAGAATGTATGCATCTATCAATTATTTATAACCTTGGGAATTGCCTTAAATCCATTTTGAAACAAGGCAAGATATAAATAAGTATTTCAGAGAGTCTTTTGACCCAGGTTCTGTAGTTCTACAAACTTAATACTTTTATTTCTAGAAGACCCAAGTAATTTCAGGAGTTAGGAAATATCTCAAATAGGTTTCATAAGAGAATACTTATCCATGCTTTAAAAAAAAATACCTTTAAAAGTCACTCATTTATTCCCAGCAAGACTGAAAACACACAGAGCATCACCCTACATGTTAAGAATCCTTCCTGCTGGAGGAACACATCTTAACCGGTAGTTCTAAGGATATATTTTAAGATTTGTTTAGTCTTGATTTTTAAATGTGGTAATTCAAGAACGCCATCATGTCAGACCCACAAATGGCGATTTTGTGGCTATGTTGCTTAAAAAAAAAAAAAGAAAGTCCAGACATCTGTTCTTGAAGGTCTAGAGTCAAACATCTCTCATTCCTGCTGCTAAGCGTTTCTCAAACTAAGATAGGAACATGCTTCTGGCCAACACAGAGTACTCAGTTGCAATCCCACCAGGCCCAAAAGTACAACCTCAGAAAGAGGCAGGCGCGGTCCGGGGACCAGGGTTGCTGACTGGCAAAGCCGCCAGCAGGTCTGTGTGTCCACGCTGGGGACCCTGGGCGGCTCAGCAGGGCAGCGAGGCGGTGGGAGGGGGCTCTGAGCCTTACCCGCAGCCAGGGCTGTCCCAGGCCACGCGGGTGCGACCGAGAAGCGTCCTCCCTGACATGCACGATCACGGAAGACTCCAGCGAAATCTAAAGCCCGGGGATTATTCAGGACGTGGCACTTTGCAGCCCATCTGTCTGGCTCCCCCCTGCAGCCACTTCAGAGACCACGGTGCAGAGGCAGTGCCAAGCAGGCTGCCCGAGGTCTCACCCTCGATGGCAGCGTGGAAGGGATTTCTAAGCTGCCTGGAAGGACAGGGAAAGACAAGCGGAGGAGACTCACCCTGAGCCCTGCAGTTCCTCCAGATTGGATGCATTCCATTCAGAGCCCTGGGAGACAGATCACACAAACCCCCGTGAGTGTCACACGCCGGCCTCCTCCGAGCAGCTGCTCGGGGGCTGCGGTTTGCCCCAGCCCTGGGGGGAAGGCCTGATTTCAGGGACCCTTGGCCTCGGAGAACAGTGAGAACCCAGGGGCTGATATTCAAGAAGGTTCCCAAGTTCTCAGAGCATCTTCAACGGGAGGGAGCCCAGCCCCTCGTTGGCCCCTCGGCCTCCCGGGAAGAATGAGCCCAGGAAAACCTGCTTCCGCGTCTGCCCGCTTCCTCTCCTAGGACTGCAGTGCCGTCCCAGGTCAGAGGCAATGACCTGCGACCTCCCACCCGGGGAAGGGCACTTCCACACAATACTAATTGAAGAAGGAATCGTTCTACCTTTTCTGGGAAGTACTTTGGCAATACTGGAAGAGTTCCCACCCTCTGACTTCACTTACAAAAGGTTATCCCGAGGAAATAATAACTCACGCAGACGTTTAGGTACGAGGGTATTTAAGGCTATTTATAAAACGGTGGAAAGAACCCAAAAGTCAAATGGGAAGAAATGAGTAAAATGAATGATGATAGAGCCTCATAAAGGAGCCATGAAAACAAATCATGTTTCTGGAGAATATTTAATGACACAGGAAAATATCACAGAAGGCAAGAATGTTTAAAAGAAAACAGGATACAAAACTATATAAATATAATTATGTATGATCTTTTCTTTTTCTTTGTATCTACCTATCTATGAGTGAATGAAAGTCTTGCTCTGTCACCCGGGCTAGAGTGCAGTGGCATCATCATAACTCACAGCAACCTCAAACTCCTGTGCTCAAGCGATCCTCCTGCCTCAGCCTCCCGAGTAGCTGGGACTATAGGCATGTGCCACCACACCAGGCTAATTTTTTCTATTTTTAGTAGAGACAGGTCTTGCTCTTGCTTAGGCTGGTCTTGAACTCCTGACCTCAAGCGATCCTCCTGCTTCAGCCTCCCAGAGTACTAGGATTACAGGCCTGAGCCACCACTCCCAGCCTCTTTTTGTTTCTTTTTAAAAAAGCTATATATGCATTTTAAAAAAAAACCACCAAAAAACAGAAGATGGGAAAATAAATACCCCAAAATATTTTTTTAATTCTTTTTTTTTTAATTTTTAAAATTTTTACATTTTAACTTTTTTTTTCTTTTTTTTAGCAACACGCAAGTTGTGATGAACAGCAACCCCAAAATGTTAACAGTGACTACCTCTGGATTTGTGAGATTGGGAATGCTTTTTTTCTTCTTCTTTAGATTTATTTCTATTTCCGGACTTTCTATGATGTTTTAATTTAATACTTAAAAAAAAAAATGGTATCACACTAACAAACAATTCCTAAGCATTCAAAGAACGTGGAAGGGGGAGGAAAAAAAAAGAAAAAAGAATCACTTTGCTCTTAGGAAGTGCAAAAGACACGATCACAAAGAGCAAAAAGAGTTCGCCTTAGTTTCCCTACAAACTTCCTCTTTCAAGTTCCCAAGAGGGCAGACCCCCCAGGACCCGGGGGCTGCCGGGGCCCAGTGAAGCCAGCAACGGGCGGTGTTAGCTGACAAGACATAAAAATTCCTTTAGTATCTCTCATGGAAAAAGTGACATAAAGCACCAAACCACACTGAAAAAAATAAGGAAAGCTCCGCTAAGGCTGTGAGCGTCCCCCTGGCCGTGACCACCACCTAGTGGAGAAAGACGGGACGAAGGTGCCTTATGTTGTCACCAGGGAAATCAATCGGCTTCCCAGACACCTCTCAAGATAGAGTCTTCAACTCCACACATGTATATATACATTTTAATGTATAAATATGGAATCTATGTAGATCTATACATACAAATACATTTAAATCTCTCTCTCCATATATATAGCCATATAGATATCATGACATATATGAATGCATTTGGAGAACTCTAATGACTCCCCACAGGCAGGAAACAACGTCACTCATGTCTCTAGCAGCAAATGTATTTCATCAGCATTCCCAGGAAGCACTTTCTCCTCTAACACTGGGTACCATTTATTAGCACCTACAGAAACCATGCTGGATGCTTTAAATACGTCTTTTCTTTCTATCTTTTTTTTTTTTTTTTTGAGACAGAGTCTCACTTTGTTGCCCAGGCTAGAGTGAGTGCCGTGGCGTCAGCCTAGCTCACAGCAACCTCAATCTCCGGGGCTCAAGCAATCCTTCTGCCTCAGCCTCCCGAGTAGCTGGGACTACAGGCATGTGCCACCATGCCTGGCTCATTTTTTTGTATATATATATATATATATATTTTTTTTTTTTTAGTTGGTCAATTAATTTATTTCTATTTTTGGTAGAGACGGGGTCTCGCTCAGGCTGGTTTCGAACTCCTGACCTTGAGCAATCCGCCCGCCTCGGCCTCCCAAAGTGCTAGGATTACAGGCGTGAGCCACCACGCCCGGCCTCTTTCTATCTTTTTTTTTTTTTGAGACAGTGTCTCACTCTGCTGCCAGGGCTAGAGTGCCGTGGCGTCAGCCTAGCTCACAGCAACCTCAAACTCCTGGGCTCAAGCGATCCTCCTGCCTCAGCCTCCCGAGTAGCTGGGACTACAGGCACGCGCCACCATGCCCGGCTCATTTTTTCTATATATTTTTAGTTGGCCAATTAATTTCTTTCTATTTATAGTAGATACAGGGTCTTGCTCTTGCTCAGGCTGGTTTCAATCTCTTGACCTCGAGCAATCCTCTGCCTTGGCCTCCTAGAGTGCTAGGATTACAGGCAGGCGTGAGCCACCACGACAGGCCCTTCCTCTCTTCCTTTCTTCCCTTCTTTCCTTCCTTCCTCCCTTTCCCCCCTCCCCTCCCCTCTTTCTTTTTTTCTTTCTTTTTTCCTGCTATTTGCCCAGGGTATCCTCAAACTCCTGGGTTTAAGGGATCCTCCAGAGTATATGGGACTACAGGCTTGTGCCTCTCTGCTCAGCTTATATTTTATTTAATCCTCATCATCATCCCAGGAGGTATAAGATGAAGAAAAAAAAAAAAAGCAGCAAAGTGAGTTTCTGCAAAGTCACACTCAGCCTCCCAGGCTGAAGAGGGGGAACGCGGGCCCTGGTGGGTTGATTTTCATCGCACCATGCGGCCGCTCTAATTTTAGTAACATGCCTTTCTCTATAGTCTCTCTGCCTTTGCAAACGTGCCAGTTGCCTTCTATGGAGATTTACGGCATTAAGACAGTCTGGGCGAGCCACGGAGGTGGTGCAGGGAGTGGGTGCAAGCCACCCAAAAGCTGCAGGACCAGGGCAGATTCTTCCAGGGGGCTCTGGGAGCAGTTTTGGGAGGAGCTGTCGGGACGGGCTCGGAGGGGAAGCTACGTTTCGGTTGTGTGATCTGTCTTCCCTGCTGTTTCTCACGTCTTGTCTCGGGGTGCCTAGGCGTAGCTCTGGGGTTTGGTGAGAGTGCCTCCTTTTAGTAGCGGGCGCTTTGGGGCCCGCAGACCATTTGGGCAGGGCCTGCGTGTTAGCGAGCGAAGATGACAAAGGGTTTGAGAGTCTGAAAACACCCACCAGCTGCTCGTGCCCAACTGCTCCGGAGCGACTCCCTGCAGCTCAGCTGAGAGCCACGTCTCACGCATCTGGCTCCAGAGCAGGCCAGTGTGGTCTGCAGGCCAGAGAACTTTGGGAGTTCCCGTCCGTCGGGACAGAGGCTCCAGGAACTCGAGCTTTCTGTCTGCTTTTCCTTCCTCTCTGCCCTGCTACGAGCGCCAAACCATCAAGGTCTGACCCGCCTCCCCCACACTCCGTCCCGCCAGAGCTGTGCCTCTTACGAGATAAAGGTGATCGAAGATGAGGGAGGGTTTGTCCATCTGTCCCAGGATAAGGAGCATCTCGTTGTCTATGAATTCCTTAAATTCTTTCAAGTTACAGTTCATCTGTTTCTCTAATTCATTGCGGATCTGTGGGGTGGAAAATATTAGGAGAAGTGATTTGTTAAACACAACAGTTGTCCACCTCCAAAGAATTAAAGTTACGAGAGGAACGGTGGCTGTTTCCAAAAAAGGTGGCTTTTCTTTTTTTTTTTCTTTTTAGAGTAACACATTTAGACACATGCAGCACACATGCGTGGGTGGCAGGAATGCAGGTGACTCAGCCTCAAAGTAAATCCAACTGGGGAAAGTTTATTATTTCAAATAAGGCCTCTGATTTCCATGAGATCTTTTCTACTGAATTTCTATGTGATTTACAATCACATATCAAATACATCACAGAACCTAAAATCAGTCTCATATTGCTTGGAAACGTAGCACAATATGATTTTTTTTTAAAGGTATGAATTAATAAAAAGATTATATATGAGTTTTTAAAATAGCAATTTCAACCTCCTCCTCTTAGATCTACCTTATTTAAACTGTTATTATAACTCATTGCATTGCCTGAACAGAAAGCAACAGAAAGAGGAAAACAAGTGATCTAGGAAAATATTAAAAGGCAGCAAGAAGGCAGTCTGGAATTTACAGCTTGCCAGTCAACTGTAATCCTGTAGTCGACTGTACAGAAATGAGTTTGCTGTCTCTTACGTACAACGCCAGGCAACGTGGGGCAGAAGCCAGGAGGAGAGGGTGTCGACAGATCAATGCTCCTGGGTGCAATTTACAGATCTCACGGAACTGCCACCAAAGGACATACAGGTGAGGCTCAGAGAGATCAAGAAATCCGCCCCATATCTCAAAGCTGGGAAATGGCGGATTTAGAATCAAACTAGAATCTGACTCCACGGCCTGTGCTCTTTCCGCCAAGCCCTGCTGCCTTTGCAGAACGGGACAGAAAACAGCCTCTGAGAGCAGAGGAGCAGACCGGCAAAGAGAACCAGGCGCCAGGCCAGCTCCCACCGCCCAGGTGGGACGAGCAAACGCCACGCGGCAGAGGAGAAGCGTTTTCTTACTTCTTTGGAGGTCACGTTTTCCAGGTCCTGGCTCATCATGATGCTCCGGAGTTTGGCTTTGATGAGGCGCTCCGTCCTCTCCCCTTCGGTTGGCCTGGAGAGAAATGATGTTTAGGGAAGTGCAGGAGTCTGGGAAGACCGAGGTCAGGGGTTACAGACACACCAGCTGCTCCTGGGTCTGAACAGAACGTGGCTTGGCGAGGAGAGCTCGCGGCTCGGTGCTTGGGCTCTCGGGGGGCAGGGAGAGGTACGTGGAGAGCCTGTTCCATCTCCAGAGTTCCCATGGGGGTCAACAGAGCGGAGGGCAGACGGCGGGAGGGAGGACAGCTTGGCAACTCACTGCTTGCTCAGGCCCCGCAGTGGCTGACACTCCCAGGGCGGGATGCTAGAACTGCCAGCCTGACTTCCCCAGGCCACTGCGCCCGTGAGCGTCTGCCTGGACACCTCCAGGGGGATGAGGACCTCACTGTGCCCGGGGGTAGCCTGGCCCAGCTGTGGCCAGCTCCTGGCATCTCCTTCCTACACAATATCAAAGTGTAGGTTATCTCCCTGTAACTTCTACGCACCAGCCCTAGTCTGAACCCGAGGGGCCACGATGACCAGGGCGACCCTTCTAACAATTCAAAGGCAACGATCGTTTCCCCTCTCCATCTGTCTCGTGGTTTCCCGGAGGCCTCGCACAGCATGGCTTCCGGTCATCCCCGCCCCTGCCCCTCCTCGACACGCTGTGGCTGTCCACGGCCCTCTTCGAACTCAGCAGCGTCCCCGAGGGGATGCTCTGTGGGGAGCCGAGTCCCCACCGAGAGAGGAGAGATCCACTTCCTTCCTCTCAAACTAGACTTTACCGAGTGTGGCCAGACAGGGCTGTCGGAGGTCACATGGCCAGGGCATGTGACTCACCGCCGCTGCTGCTCAAAGGCAGGCTGCCCCCAGCACTTGTGTTCTGGGATCCAAGCAAGCAGGGGTCACGTTCAATAGTTCTCCTAGGAGCAGAGGCGGCGGCTTTGGGCATTAGGGAGGGAAGGCCAGAGCACAGAGTACTGCAAGGAGCTGCTGACACAGGGGACCGCACGCTCCTAGGAGAATCCGATGGAAGTTATGCACCTGTTCCCTGGAAGTACGCTCACCAAATCTGTCTGTAAGGGGCAGATGGTGGTCACAGGGGCAAGGGGTGGTCACAGACCCTTCCCCCAGCCCGAGGCTACCCATGAGCCCAGGCTAGGAATCCCTGCTGTAAATGCTGGCTCTGAAATCAAGGGGCTCCAAGGGAGGTACGGCCTCGTGCAGGACCAGGGCCGGGCCCAGGGGAGGTGCCGGTGAGGCGCTCGGGGCTGGGCTGGCGCAGGAGGAGAGGCTGCGCTTACTTGTCGACAAACAGCGCCGGGGAGTCTGGCCGCGTGGACTCCAGGTCCTGCATGGCGTTCCACTCGTTGATGCAGCTCTGCTCGGAGCTGATGCAGCTCTCGTAGTAGGTGGCCCAGATGAGAGCCACGCCCCCGGGGAAGTAGTTGTGCCTTCGTGCCACCTCGCAGGCCTTGTGAAGCACCTGCAGGGCGGACCTGGGGGTGCGGAGGGGAGAGGGTCAGGTCTGGGGAGACACAAGGAGGGCTGGGCTGTCCCCTGCAAACAAGGGTCCCAGGCGGGGCCGGGGGGGGAAGGGTGGTTCCTACAGGACCCCCTGCAGGAGCCGGGCTCACACACGAGGGCGTGTCGGGGACACGCGGCAGCCCCAGACCCCGTCTTCTGGGTCACAGAGCTGGCCACAGTCACTGGCCGAGTCCAAGAGTGGACAGAACGTCCCTTGTCATGTCCAAAAGGAGAAAAAACAAACAACAAACTTCGTCGCTCTTCCAGTCAAGCTGGTTCAAATGTTATTTCACATTCCATCAATCAGCTACAGAGAATTAAGATTTACTTGTGAAGCTGTGTGACCCTGAACCTCAGAAGCACAATTAAGCCTTGCAGCTGGAAGGAGACCTCTGACTGCATTCAAAATACTTACGTTGCTAACTATCCCCCCCATCATTACAATAGCTTAGATTTCTTGAGGAAATGAGTTCTAGAAACTCATTTCAATACGCAAACTAACTGAAGAAGAGGTTTGGGAAGGCAGAACAGGGCAGAAAAAATAATATTAGAAATGTATACATGTTATCGAGCCAACCTCTTTTACTTCTTATTACAAAAATATAGGCTGAAAATTTCTCAGCGAATGGGGTAAATCAGGCTATGACAGGTGGAAGAGCAGAGCCTTGGGAGGGCGGAGTTATCAGAGAATGGATCCATAGGGGGCAGGAAAAATCCTGCAATCCACGCCCCCTTCCCCAACTGCAGTCTCTGTGCTATGTCTAGGCTGGCTGAGGGAACACGCTGGAGCTGAATGTGTACTAAATTTAGTTCTCATTCCGAAGTTTCTGGAAAAACACGTGGGCCTATTTTTTACTTGCCTGGAGAGAAACAGACAACAAATTATGCAGGGACACAAAGAAACATCTGGGACATCTATTGGTTCATGTTCCAGAATTATCATTTCATGATTTTTCCCCCAAATGGTCCTGAATTGACTGCAGTGTGGAGTAACAGAGGATGTTAAAAAAAAAAAAAAAAGGACAATATTAACTTCTGGCCCTGGGAGAATTCTGCACCACTCTCACTGTCCCAGAAGAAAGCATCATTATTTTGAAATACTGGGCAGAACTCTTCTTATCAGATGGTACCAGCTCTCTCTTGAGTTTTTTGTGTTTTTTTTTGAGACAGAGTCTCACTCTGTTGCCCAGGCTAGAGTGCCGTGGCATCAGCCTAGCTCACTGCAACCTCAAACTCCTGGGCTCAAGCGATCCTCCTGCCTCAGCCTCCCTAGCTGTAGCTGGGACTACAGGCACACGCCACCACGCCCGGCTAACTTTTTCTATATATTTTTAGTTGGCCAGTTAATTTCTTTCTATCTTTAGTAGAGACGGGATCTCGCTCTTGCTCAGGCTGGTTTCGAACTCCTGATCTTGAGCGATGCTCCTGCCTCGGTCTCCCAGAGCGCTAGGACTAGAGGCGTGAGCCACCACGCCCGGCCTCCTCGACAGACTTTAACCCTCGGGAAGACAGAATCTCATCTGTGTGGTGCCTCCCCACGTGCCTACTGTCTAGCAAAGTGCCACTCCTTCCACTGAGCACACTGAGCGCCTACTGTATGCCAGACACAATGAACAGATGAATCTACGCTGAAGTGACAGTTCGGCCAGCAGGAGCTAAAGATCTGTAAAAACACACCTTCAACAATAATAAAAAAAAATATCCCATTTAGAAATGCGTTGAGGACTTGCATAGACATTTCTCCAAAGATAAACAAATGGCCAATAAGCATGAAAAAAACGTTCAACCCTGATAGTCATTAGGGAAATGCAAATCGAAACCACAATGAGGTACCATTTCACAGCCATCAGGATGGTGATTATTAAAAAGAAAACTAACGAGCTGACAAGGATGTGAAGAAACTAGAACACTCATGTTTTACCAGCAGGGCCGTAAAGTGGCTTAGATACTGGAAAATAGTTTGGCAGTTCCTCAAGAAGCTAAACATAAAACTACCATATGACTCAGCAATTTCACTTCTAGGTACGTACCAGAAAGAACTGAAGACAGGGACTCAGATACATGTGCTCGAATGTTCACAGTGGCATTATTCACGAGAGCCAAGAAGTGGAAACAACCCAATGTCCACCGACAGATGAATGGATAAACAAAGGGCGGTCTAATCACACGATGGAATGTTATTCACCCTTAAAAAGGAATGAAGTTCTGATACATGCTACGACACGGATGAGCCTTGAAACATCATGCTAAGTGAAAGAAGCCAGAGACCCAAGAGGACAGATATTGTATGCCTCCATTTAGACGAGGCATCTAGAACAGGCAAATCCATGGAGAGAGAAAGTAGAATGGAGGTTACCAGAGGTTTCGGGAAAGGAAAAGAAGTCACTGTTTAGTGGGTGCAGAGTTTCTCTCTGAGAAGATGCAAACGTTCTGGAAATGGCCAGTGGCGATGGTTGTATAGCAATGCGAATGCACTTAATGACACTGAAGTGTATACTGAAAGAATGGTTAAAATGGCAAATTTGATGTTTATTTTGCCACATACACACGGGCGTGCACATCCAAATGAGCTTCTAAGTAGAAGAGTTTTTTATTCATGCTATTAGCTAAGAAAATATTTCTTCTTTTTTTTTGAGACAGAGTCTTGCTCTGGCACCTGGGCTAGAGTGCCGTGGCATCAGCCTGGCTCACAGCAACCTCAAACTCCTGGGCTCCAGTGAACCTCCTGCCTCAGCCTCCCAAGTAGCTGGGACTACAGGCACATGCCACCATACCGGCTAATTTTTTTCCGTTTTTAGTAAAGATGGAGTCTCGCTCTTGCTCAAACTCCTAGACTCAAGCAATCCTCCCGCCTCAGCCTCCCAGAGTGCTAGGATTACAGGCGTGAGCCACCACGCATGACCAGTAAGAAAATATTTCTAAGGAGTTAAAACCTTACGCTATACTTACCACATGGCTTGGACAGACACAGGCTTAAATATGTGCATCCTTCCTGCTGTGCTCACGCTGAATCCACTGAGAATGAAAAACAAAAGGAAAGATATCTGCGGTGGGAAATCAGACTCTTCTAGTGAAATCACTTCCGAGATGATGGGAACAGGCCTGCCATGGACCCTGAGACTAAGTATGTCTCATGCTGCCTGATGGGGGATCACGAATCCCACTGCTGCAGAGCGGGCAAAAGCGGAAAAGGATAGTTCTCGAAGGAGGAGGGCTTGTTTTCAACCCAGTTATAAGAGATCCACCAAACACTGCAAGTCCAGCAAAAGGTGCCAGGCAAGGACAGCATCCAGTGACATCTCTTTTATGTCCCCCACCATCCCTGTCCACCCACTATTTCCTGCCCCACCTGTTCTTTTTTTAGAATGGCATGGAAAAAATATATTGGTGGAAAACAAAATTTTAAAAAGGGAAATATATCCCCGCAATCCCACCCTTCAACAAATCAATTTTTTTATTTCTCCCTCCCCATCCTATCTGCGAGGCAGCGTTAACTGTGACCTGCTTGGAATCCCAGGGCAGGGACAATGAATTTCCTTTTCTGTCTCTGCGCACTCGGTCCCCAGGCACATCCCTGGGAGTGAACGCACTTGGAACCAGACGGCCCTTTACCCCTCGGCTACCTGCACAGCTCCGACGAGGCCATTCCTCCCCTGCAGCCCCCTAAGCGTCTCTCCCGGACCCCCAAAGCTGGTGAGCTCCGGCCGTGCCACATTCCCCGTGAACTTTCGAGGGGCCAGCCCAGGGAGGGCGCGCAGTATCTGCTTAACTGGTCATGGTGAATGGATGAGTGTGGGTTTACCGCGGCTGTGAACTTCCCGCGGCCGATCTCCTGTAACGTGCCTCCCCTGATACTCTCGACCCTTCACGGAACGTACAAACGTACCAACGCACCTTCCTGTGCGGCCCACGGGAGGGTGACGCTGTTTCTCCCGATGTAATGAACCCATCGCATGTGGCCAGCGATCACCCGAGGGTGCCCAGCCCAACTTGTGTTTCAAAGTCTACAGTGAAAGAATCGTTTAAAGAGATCTCCTTACCCGTCTCCATCCAGGTGGATCTTCGTGTCGCTCCACAGCCGGAGAACCATCCCGATGGTGCAGCTTTTGCTACGAGGGGGACGGGAAGACGGCTGGGGTCAGTGCCCGCCCGTGTGCACGCACAGTCTTCCCTCTCTGGCTTTGCACGTGCGTTTCCGGCTCACGGCGGGGAACCGGCCCGGCCCGGCCCAGGTGGGCTGCTGGCCGTGCATATGGGACGGGCTCTTACTTAGGCCGTTTGGTAGGGACAGTTTGCCACTGAATTCCAGGAGACACAGGTCTGGGACTCGGCTGTGGACGCAACTCCACGAGCCTCAGCTGAGGCTCTGGGGGTATAAGGGACACGCAGCTGACCTCGGGCCCACACTGCCACTGGGGGTAGCCGGGAGGGCACGCGAGTGAAGAGCGAGAGCCAACCCGCCTTATCCTCTCTCAGGGTGGCAGGACAGGGGAGCGCGCTCACACCGCTACTGGGGCGCACTTTCGGACCCGTGCCGCCCGCAGTGCCGCTGCCGTTTCCCAAACTGCCTCAGCCTGGTCTTGCCCGTCCTGACAGGGAAATGAGACACAGCAACTTTCGAGACGGGCACCACCGAAGAAACACAGAGAGGAAGAGAGGGCTTCAGGGGCTCCTCAGATGGTCACGGAGATTCCTCAGGCACGTAAGAAAGACTTGGCTTGTGAGAAGCTGCTGTCACCGTGCCAAGGGCCAGGCCCGAGGACCGTCAGGCATCTAGCGCTTACATCGCTGCTGCTGCATAACAGCACCCTCGGGGGCACCTCCCAGAGCTGCTCCCCTCCCGAGCAGCGCCCACCACGTGGGACCCTCCACCCGTGTGCCTCTGTGGCTGCGGGGCAGGGGAGGTAGTGTGCAGCCCTTCCCGCCAATCAGACTAAGCGTTGGGGCTGGGCGAATGCTCAGGTCACCTGCAGTCCCACCCACTCCTGGCGGGTTAAGCGTATTTCCCGTGTAGAGCTGCAAAGGAAAATTTACACGGGGCTCACAGGGCTCTGGGAGCCGGGCGGCAGAGTCAGTGCCAGCAGGAGGCAAGGGGGGTCCCTTCAGAGCCCAGATCCAACGTGCAGAAAGCCGCATGCCCTGGGGCGTGCGGGCAAGGCCGGGAAGACCAGCCCTGCAGGGACAGCATATGCCAGGGACTGGTGCGCAGGGGAGCACATAGCACGGAGAGCTGCAAAGAGCACGGAGTTTGGGGGTCCAGGGCAGGCAGGGCCGAGGGGCAGGGCTGAGGTTGCCCATATGAAGGGGTGAACCTGCACCCCTACGCTGTACTCCCTTGCACACTGAGGTGGGCAAGGGGCTGGTGGGCACTGCGGGCAGAGCCCAGAGAGGGCTTCTGCTCACAGCCTTAAACTAAAACTAGAACCAAGAGCACGGGCCAGGGACCATGCACCACCGTTACAGCTCCGCAAATCCCCTATCGGTCCCTCACTGTCACTCCGTGAGCTTCCACTAGTCCCACGGTAATTAACAATAATATTTCTACAATGAAGGAGAGCCCGTGAGTTCTATATATGGGAAGCGGAGAAAGGCCAGGCGGTTAGGGAAACTGGATCTTTTCAGGGAAAGAATGACCCCGAAGGATAAAGTGGGTGAGAGCAACTACAGGAGAAGCAGCAGCAGGTTCCACGCCCCCAGGGCCTGGACAACAGGAACAGGGAAGCCAGAGGGGACTGAAGATCTAGACAGGAGGTGGGCCTGTCCCAAAATGCCACCATGGGCATCCTTCACAGGTGGCAAAACGTGGAAGACAGTGGTATGTGCTCATGGCGTGCAAAATGTTCCAAGATACAAAAAGAAAAATTAATAATCCAAGAATGACCCCGGGGGGTGGCAGCTGTGGTCTCAGACCTAAGAAAGCACGTGCAGATAGAAAACTCTGGGTGAGTGCGCGAGCCTGCAGCAGCCGCGGCCTCCCAATGCTATTTCTTCTAACACCGACACGGACTCGCACGGGGAACCCCAGGAAGACGCCCTGTGGGGGCAGCACTCATCTCTTTCTTCTTTTCTTCTTCTTTCTTTCTTTTTTTTTTTTTTTTGAATAAGGAAACACAATCTAACAGCAGGAATTTGGAAAAACAAGCATATCATGCCCTGAGCAGGCCAAAGGCTTCTGGCAGGAGCCAGGACTTTGTTTTCAAGCCAGGTGAGAACATGAGAGCCTGGTGCCCGGGCAGTGTGGGAGCCACAGAAGAACGCCCAGGTGCCAGCCCCCGAGGAGGCCGGGTGTGGAGGACTGCTGCGTCAGGCCCAATGGGGCAGGAAGGCCCGCTCAGTTCCTGATCTCTGGCGGTCCCCTGCTCACCTGCACGGCCTCACGACTGTCCCCTCTGACCTCAGGAGCCCAGCACGGGTCGTGGGGTTGGCACCTGCAGGCAGGCTGTGGCTCTGGCTGGGAGAGCACGGGGAACCGAGGGTTTGAGGGCAGAGCACGGCAAGAAGGGAATCGAAGGCGGGGTGCCCAGGGGAGGAAAGGCGGACAGGGCAGAAGGGAGGACACTTTGGGGTGGGCAAGAACGAGCATATAGGTCTGTCCACCCTGGCTGGGAAAGAACGGACTCAGAGTGTGTGCCTGCGCACGCGTGTGCATGTGCGCAGGCCTGATGCACGCCCGGGACCTCTGCTGTGCTCACGGATGCAGCCCCAGGGCAAGCGGCACAGGGAAAGAGCTGACACAGAGGTGCCCAACCTTTGTGGCACCAGGGACTGGTTTCACGGGAGACAGTTCTTGCACAGACTGGGGCGGGGAGCGGTTTGGGGATGATTCGAGCGCATTGCATTTATTGTGCAGTCGAACCTCCCTGCTAATGAGAGTCTGTGTCTGCAGCCGCTCCCCAGCACTCGCATCACTGCCTCAGATCCCCAGGCATCCGATTCTCACAAGGAGCTGCAACCTAGGTCCCTCGCAGGTGCAGTTTCCAGCAGGGTTCGCGCTCCCGGGAGAATCTAATGCCGCCGCGGATCTGACAGGAGGCAGAGATGCGAACAGAGGGGAGCGGCCGCAAATACAGACGAAGCTCTGCACCCTTGCCTGCCGCTCACCTCCTGCCGTGCAGCCCGGTCCCTAGCAGGCCATGACCTGCTACCTGTCCGTGGCCCAGGGGTTGGGGACCACAGAGCTCACAGGTACAGACGGGACAAGCTGGGAGTGAATGAACGAGTGAATGGCGTCATCTACCCAACGGGTGGTCCACAGGAAAAGCCCCACATCCCAGCTCTGCTACTTATAGGGACGGCTCTGCCTTGAGAGCTTTTGATTCCTCGTTTGTAAAATGTGAAGTGGGGCTGAGACCCACGGGGAGATTCAAGGATTAAACGAGATGTTTGCACAGGTGTTTCAGGCGTGCCGTGCCCTGCAACCGAGATGAGGGCAGGAGGACTGGACTTTTCTACCAGCTCCGTGGCTGGGATCGAGGAGACGGGTGCCGCCTGCGGGGCGGATTCAGTTCGGGATCAGAAAGTGGCATTGGGACAGACCACAGTGAGGGAAGTCCCTCCCCCTGATGGAACACAGGGAGGACGGATGATCCTGTGAACAACTGTGACTGCAACACTGTTCAACGCGCATCGCCTCTAAGCCACACAACCATGTGGAAAATGGCCAAAAAGACAGGGCTCTCACCATTTTCTTTTTTCCCAAAAACAGGGTCTTGCTCTGTCGCCCAGGCTAGAGTCCAGAAGTGTCATCATAGCTTACTGCAACCTCAAACTCCTGGGCTAAGCGATCCTCCTGCCTCAGCCTCCCGAGTAGCTGAGACTACAGGTACGCACCAACACGCCCAGCTAATTTTTAAAATTTTTTGTAGTGATGGGGTCTCACTATGTTGCCCGGGCTGGTCTCGAACTTCTGGCCTCAAGTGATCCTCCTACCTTGGCTTCACAAAGTGCTGGGATTAGAGGTGTGAGCCACTGCTCCTGGCCTGGGCTCTGACCATTGCTGAGAGTCTGGAGGTTTCCTGATACAACGTAAGAAGCCCAACAGTCTCCAAGTGGCTCTTCAGAGCTCGCCTCCTAACACACTGTATGCTACATATTCTAGACCCAGATTCCCAGCCTGCCCAATCCACACACGTCAGCCCAAACTCCAGTCCCCCTGAGTGTACCGCAGAAAACTTTCTCATAATGCTATTTATTATGTACTGGGTGGGGGAGGGGGGTCACGAAAGAAACGTCCTCCCCTTTTTACTCATTTACTTCTAGCAAGCAACAAAGCCTTGGTCACTCTCATGTGACCCTCAGCAGCTCTCGGAGGAACAAGACAAGCGTGCACGGTGACCACGCCACTACCGGGCTCCACGACTCATTTTTTCTGCTACTGATTCTGCCTGGAACGCTCCAAATGCACCCCCTGCTCCACTTCTACCCCCGAACCGAGACCCACCATATGCCTAACGAGCGAGCAGCTCAACAAATGATGAATAAAGGAAGTCTGCTCAATCTCGATGTCACAAATCCAGGTTTTGCAATGACCTCACAGGCACTCGCTCACCTTAGATGCCAGGCGAGCCGTTCACCTGCGTTTCACACACCTAATGGGGTCCAGAATAAAACTCACGTGGCCTCTAGTGAGCGGGAAATTTCCAAGCCTCTCTTGCAAGCCTCCGCCCAAGGACCTGCCAAAAAGTCCTTGGGAATCCGTGGGGCATCACTACTGGACCGAGTCCTGCTGCGACGCCCACCGAGGGTGTCTTCCCTGCCTCACTTCGCTGGTCCCCGGCTTGTCCTCTCGGGCTGCCCGCTGCCGGCCTCCCCTTTAGGTGCCTCTCTCCACAGCGCCTGGTGTCAAGCCTCTGAGCGCGGAGCAGCTTCCCCTCCTCAGCCGACTCTGAGTCCTCGAGGGCAGAGGCCGGCTCTGGCACGTGCCGGTCACACAGGAGCTGGAACGTCACGCCTGCTGCTCCCCGTGCCGCGATCCCCCTCCCCCCATCAGGACATGTTTCCCGTGACGCGGGACCACGGAAGCCCTGAGCCAGCAGCAACTCGTGTCCCCTCCCAGAAGGGACCGCCCCCCCCCCCATTAGACTCACCTTTCCTTACTGGAAAAGTCGACCCCCAGCAGGATGTTCTCCTCCGTGTCCTGGCGCCCGCTGCTGTACACCACCACCATGTAGCGGACCCGGTCTGTCCAGGCGCTCTCCAGCCGCACGGCCTAGGAACGGCGGGACGCCCTCACTGGGCTGCCTTTGGAGGGGCCGCCTCCGTCCCTTTGCCGAGATCGAGAACTTTCGTTTTCTACCTTTCCTCCCCGGGGAGTTAAAAGTGAAGACAAAATTCTTTTTTTTTTTTTTTTTTTCGGAGACAGAGTCTCACTCTGTTGCCCGGGCTAGAGTGCCATGGAGTCAGCCTAGCTCACAGCAGCCTCAAACTCCTGGGCTCAAGCAATCCTCCTGCCTCAGCCTCCCCAGTAGCTGGGACTACAGGCATGCGCCACCATGCCCGGCTCATTTTATATTTTTTTTTTTTTGTAGATATGGGGTCCCGCTATGTTGCCCACATTGGTCTTCAACTCCTGGCCTCGAGTGATCCTCCCACCTTGGCCTCCCAAAGTGCTGCAATTACAGCACGAGCCACGGCACCTAGCCAACTTTTTTTTTTTTTTAATACGCAATTTTGTAACCATAGATCAAACCAAGAGAAAAATGTTATTTTATTCAAGCAAACGCTACTTGGCAGGGTGAGGTGGCCAGAAACCACAGCCATGGCTGGGAGGAAGGCATTTGCTAAGAATTAATCTGAGAGAAAAAGGACCGAGTGTCATTTTTCCTCTTCAAACTCTTCTGCATTTTCCTTAAGAGAGAGAGATTATTTCTATAACTGGGGGTGGGGTGGGGTGGGGGAAATGTTTACATGACTCTATAGACAGCAGCTGTATGTTGGATGCCCAGAGAAATAATTCTAGTAGACAACAATCTGTCATTTTCTCCTTTCTTGCTAAAAATTGTGTCCGCTTTTTTCTTCATTATTTAAGAAGCAGTAATCCAGGGCTGGCTTTTAAACTTCTCTGAGCTGTCCCAGGGTCCAGGGGGTTGTCTGTGGACTGGAGTGAGGAGTGGCTAAGCAGGAGAACCCAGCAGAAGGGGGTGCACTTGCAGAGGGACACCATATCCAGGTGCATGAGTAGTAAGTAGCAGGTATGACGCTAATGCTGCTTCCCCCCTCTAACTTATACATTATGTTTGCACAGGTTTCTTTCTGAAGAAAAGGCTCATCTGTAAAGATGCTGATCTAGAAGAAGGTACAGTAAATAACTCATGGAAAATCTGTATCGACTTCCATTTTGTACGATGCCTCAAAGAATTTGATATACTTTTTAAAAAATTGCCCTAAAAGATCACAATCAGAATCCCAGAAACATCAATACTGCTCACACATTCCAATGCTCTAAAAGAAAACCTGGTCTTTCAAGGAAAATATTTAAAATAAAAAAATAATAATAATAAAAAATAAAAGAAAACCTGGTGTTTGCTCCTTTTGCAAAAGCATCTTTTTTCACTTTAAGGCAGAGTGACGTATGATGTCCACATTGCACTTCCTGCCTCAGAGAGGAATTGGGTCATTAAAAACCTGCTCCTGTAGTTAAGAGGGTGGATCTCATGTTAAGTGTTCTTTCCACAAAAAAAAAAAAAAGTTGAAAAAAAAGGGCCGGGCATGGTGGCTCGTGCCTGTAATCCTAGCACTCTGGGAGGCCGAGGCGGGTGGATTGCTCGAGGTCAGGAGTTCGAAACCAGCCTGAGCAAGAGCGAGACCCCGTCTCTACTATAAATAGAAAGAAATTAATTGGCTAACTAATATATAGAAAAAATTAGCCAGGCATGGTGGCGCATGCCTGTAGTCCCAGCTACTCGGGAGGCATAAAAGCTCACACCCCATACAAGCGGCTGTGACCTAGGCTGACGCCACGGCACTCACACTAGCCTAGGCAAGAAAGCGAGACTCTGTATCAAAAAAAAAAAAAAAAAAAAGTTGAAAAAAAAAAAGAACCGTGCCTTCTCGTCTGTTCTCTCCAGTGACAGGATTCCATGGCCTCTAACGGCTCACGTTGGCTCTCATTTCTACAGGATGATTTGGAGATAATGGGTCACATTAAAGGAGGACGTGGAGCTCCCGTGCCCTCTTCCTCCACCTGGGTGGCACCCACCTGTCACGTCACTGAGGCCACAGTGCCACACGGCACCACGGCTTGGCTCTCCGCTTGCCTGGGCCCTCCCACCACCCACCCCAAGTCACAGAACTGCACAGACGGAAGTGAAAACACACCCCTTGCCTGATAAATGCCTGAGTGAAAGGGCCGTTTTCCGCACAGGTAAACCCCTCTCAGTGGGACTGTTTGCTGAGATATGGAACTGCTGACAGACAGAAATTCAAACCCCCGTCTGACATACACACACACACAAAATCCAAGAATTTAAGCCCTAGAGAGGGTCCCAAATTTACCAGACTGGCTGAGACAAACCGAATTACTTCTATGTGGACAGAATTAAAACCTGGATTGTGCTAGGCTCTGCACAGCGATTAGTGGGGGGACTCTGGTTCACTTAGGGAACCTGATGGTATTTCTAGGGGGGGAAAAAAAAGGAACTAAAGTAAAGTCTGTGCCTGTCCCAAGGCCATTTACCAAGTCTCCAGGGACAGCTGTCAGCCCCTCGGCCTTCTTCAGCTCACCGTCCATTCTAGACCTCAGGGGCAGAAGAGTCAACCAGCCAGTGGCTTTCTTCCTACCCTCCTGTTCTTTGAAATAGAGGAAGGGCACATTTTATCCTTAGTGAGCAAAGACTGAGCACTCACTTTGTCGTATGCATTACGGTTAAGACATGAACCATGGCTAAATTCCTAACAGGGCAGAACCATTAGCAAATTCAAGAATGAAGAATCTGTTTATAGTTTTATTATACTGGAAGTCATTGTAGTAATAATTACAGCTACACATGTGCACACGTACACACACGCACACCCCCTACTGGAAGACAGGTATGCTACGTGCATAATTTTAAATTTCCATACTCTCTAAGGTACCAGTATTTTACGCCCAGCGTAAAGATTAGGAAACTGAGGCTCAGAAGTCGACCTATGACTGTTCAGTAAGTTGCAGAGCTGGGACCAGATGCCAGGTCTGTCTGGCTCCAAAGCGAATATTGTTTCCACAAACCACACTGCCTTCTTGTGCAGGCCAATTATTTTCTTAGCATGAAACAGATCTAAATCTTGATTGTAAGTATCGGTATGTGAAGATACTGCCTGGGTCTTGGTGTTTGCTATAAATCATAAGGTATGAAATTCTAACCTAGGCACTCAGATCTGAAATGAAGCTGGATAACTTGAGGTTACACAAACAAAACGATCACAGGTAGGGAGAAACCCGGCCCCAATTGCCAGCTGGTATCACCTGTTGTTCCAAAAGGTACAGGCCTTCCTCGACATTCGAATATGTGCTGCCCACCCAAAGAAGTGACCCGATCAACCCATGACAAAGATTCACTTGTATGCAAGTGTTTTTGGAATTCCTTTTTTCAAACTGCCTTTGGTTTCAAGTCAAGTCTGCTAAGGAAACCAGCCTTAGTACTTCACAGGCCTTTCTTGTTTGCTTTTGTACCTAAATTAACACTCGGTTTGATCTCTATTACTTCTGTCCACCTCCAAAGACCAAACTCGCCGAATCAAGACTTCCTACCACAGGGAGGACTTCAGAGTGCGAGCCAAAGGCTCTTAAAGAAATTCCCCAAGTGAGTGTTTTCCAAATGCTCGGAGAAATGACGGGCATCCCCGGTCTAGGTAGGTAGAGCCTCGGGTGGTTATTTTCAAAGGGACAACATCTGGCTGGGATTCATTTCGGTGCATTTGTTAACAAGGCGGGCTGTCACGGGCAGCTGTCTGATACACAGTGTACAGGGGATCTTTCCATCCCGTAGGACACTGCTGGCCACCTGACAGGTCACATAGACACGCCTGGTTTCAAAGGCGCCCCAGCTGCCAGTGCCACCTGGGAAAGGTGCATGGCCTGCTCGGGGAAAGAACACCTGAGCCTCCACCTGCACCAGGTCATTACAAACCTGTGTTCCGTGATTCCTCTGGCCTTAAAACCCAGCACGCTGCTCACCACCAACAATGGAAGGTTCCGATTTAAAAGCATCAACGTCTCCATAAAAATAAGCAACAAAAAAAAAATAATAAAAAAAAATAAAATAAAATAAAAGCATTAACTTAGAGCCGTCACCTGCATGTTTGTGGGGGTGCTGAAGACACCGCTGGCCTTGAGCGCTGCTTCCCTGTTGCAAGAAGAGGGCTGCTCCTTTCACCATGAAAAAGCTCTCACTTAAGCTGGGAAGAAAAAAAAAAAACCAGAGCACAGTTAGACTACCGTTCAGGGAGGAGAATGGGCAAAGAAATGCTACAGGGGGGGAGAAAAGCTTTAGAGGGACAAATGGAATGTGAAATGCAAATGGACTGAACTTGCCCTTAAGATAATTTCACAGCCGACTCTTCCCAAACCTTGCCTTTGCCAAACGCTTGCTTGCGGCTGGCGAGTTTGCATGATGAAATAACTAACGTTCCTGCCACAACGCCCAAAGTTCTACGCAGGCTCTCCCAGGGCCACGGGCCCCTTTCTGCAACGTACTAGAAAGGGGTCTCGCTGTCATCTAACATTTTCTAAAAATAGAGAACGACTCCCTGGTGAGGAGAGGGTGATTCACTTTGTGGATTTTCATAATCTCGCTGCTCATCTTTGCTTCCAACTCTCCGACTCTGAACGACCTCACTGCTTCTTGGTGACCTCCCCTTTGATGGGAGGCAGGGAAGATGAGATGACACATTCTCCAGCTGTTTGCATCTTCACGGGAGTGGGTGGCAACTGACCTGTGATTTAACTTAGTCAAGGCAGCCCTGTCCCTTATTCCTTTGGGAAACCTCAAGCTGACCCGATGAATTTCTCAGCAGAATGAATCTTTGGCCTTTGTTACTTTAACTACCAACAACATTTATATCCAACCTATAACTTTAAAAATTAAAATTAAAAACTGTTTCACCTTTATGATTTGACTATCAAAAAAAAAAATCTTCAGTTTATGCAGAAATTAAGACATAAAAAAAGAATGCAGCAGCTTTTAATTACTGCCAGTTATTCAAAACTATCATCAACTCTCAAATTATTATTTTTATTTTTTTATTTTTTTGAGACAAGAGTCTCCCTTTGTTGCCCAGGCTAGAGTGAGTGCTGTGGCGTCAGCCTAGCTCACAGCAACCTCAAACTCCTGGGCTCAAGCGATCCTCCTGCCTCAGCCTGCCGAGTAGCTGGGACTACAGGCATGCACCACCATGCCGGGCTAATTTACATATACTAGTACCGGTATATGATAAGTATATACCTACATACGCATAACGTACATATTTTCTGAGCCAGAGTCTCGGCTTTATGTTGTCCAGCACCTAGACGTGAAGTGCCCATGGGCGTCAGCTAGCTTCACAGCGCACACCCTCAGACTCCTGGGCTCAAGCAATCCTCTGCCTCCAGCCTCCGAGTAGCGGGATCAGCATGCGCCACCACGCCCGCTAATATTTTTCTCTATATATCTTGTTGGCCAATTTCGCAATTCCATTTATAGTAAGACAGGGTCTCACTCGTTGCTCAGGCTGGTTTCAGACTCCTGACCTCGAGCATCTCCTGCCTCGGCCTCCAGATGGCTAGGATTACCGGCGTGAGCCAACGAGCCCGGCCTTTTCTATATATTTTTAGTTGGCCAATTAATTTCTTTCTATTTTTAGTAGAGACGGGGGGGGGGCGGTCCTGCTCTATGCCAGGCTGGGATGAAATTCTTGAGATCAGAAGTCGGGTCTTGGTCATGTCCCCAGGACCGGGGACAGTGCCTGGCTCAGAGGAAACGCGTGAGACGAGAGACAGGAGCGAGCAGCCCTCCTTGGGCCCCCTGGGGGACAAAGGAGCCAGCGTGGCTTTGGCTTCTGTGAGTCATTTGGGAGAATCCGATTGTGGTGTAAGAGCAAGAGCGTTCTCCCCTGTTATTCGCCAATGGCTCCCCGCCGAGTTCCACGATTAAAAACCGACACCTGCCGCGCCCGTTGCCCCTTACCAGCTTGATTCTGTCTTCGCAGCGCAGAAGGTTGATCATCACTTGAAGATGCTGGGGCAGGTCACCTGTTGGACCAACGAAGAAATGTTTTAGAAGGTCTCCCACCTGCGTTCTAGAAAGAAACCTCTGAAATGCTGATTGTGAAGGCCTAGAAGAAGATTTAGAAGTTAACATTTCCTCCTCTGCCTACACCACCGGAGAAACATCACAAAGACTCACAGTCCCAGTTTCTCTCACTCCATCCCCGAGCACGGTGTGATGAGGACGGGTGACATACAGCTCAGTGTCATCTTGTTACAGGTTGCTCTTAATTTCTGAAACACGGGCAATATGGGGTCAGTTATTTATTTAGCTATTTTGAAAGAGACAGAGTCAAGCTCTGTCACCCAGGCTGGAGTGCCGTGGCATCATCATAGCTCACAGCAACCTCGAACTCCTGGGCTCAAGCCATCCACCTGCCTCAGCCTCCCGAGTAGCTGGGACTACAGGCGTGCGCCACCATGCCTGGCTGATCTATTTTTTTTTTTTTTTTTTTTGTAGATATGGGGTCTCGCTATGTTGGCCACACTGGTCTTAAACTCCTGCCTCGAGTGATCCTCCCACCTTAGCCTCCCAAAGTGCTGCAATACAGCACGAGCAGGCACCTAGCCAACTTTTTTTTTTTTTTTAATACGCAATTTTGTAACCATAGATCAAACCAAGAGAAAAATGTTATTTTATTCAAGCAAACGCTACTTGGCAGGGTGAGGTGGCCAGAAACTACAGCCATGGCTGGGAGGAAGGCATTTGCTAAGAATAATCTGAGAGAAAAGGACCGAGTGTCATTTTCCTCTTCAAACTCTTCTGCATTTTCCTTAAGAGAGAGAGTTATTTCTATAACTGGTGGTGGGTGCGGGAAATGTTTACATGACTCTATTAGACAGCAGCTGTTATGTTGGATGCCCAGAGAAATAATTCTAGTAGACAACAATCTGTCATTTTCTCCCTTTCTTGCTAAAAATTGTGTCCGCTTTTTTCTTCATTATATTTAAGAAGCAGTAATCCAGGGGC